TTTAAAAAAAGATGGGAACACTTTGATACCTGGCTAACTTAGAGCAGTGATCAGGGCCCTGGGTATCCTGGGACGTAGCAGATAAATCCGGGAAATCAATGCAAGGAAGATCAAGGAAGATGGCTGCAAGAAGAAAGAAAGAGTTCCCACCTGGGAGTAAGGAATAGCAATGTTCCCCCACCCCAAAGTATTTATAGTTCCTCAGGATGTTAGAGAAAACCAACGGGATTTAGGAAAAAACACACAAAAAACCTGGGAGGAATTCTCTGGTTTTGTAACCTAGACTGAAATAAAACAAGGATCAGACGCAGGGCCTGGGGAACACGGTGAGTGCACAATGAATGCCGATTCTCTTCCCCCTTCCCGGCCGGCTAGGATTTTCTTTCAACACACGGAGAGAAAGCATCTGTCTGCAGATGGAGCCGCAAAGATGAACCAAGAATGTAAACTGGAAACGACTACAAAACCCAGGTCTACGCGTGAATGTGCATCTAGCTGAATATAGAAGCATGAGACCTGTACCTGTAAGATGCCTAATTTGTGTATAATTTGCACCGTGAGATCTTGTTAACTAGAGTGTGATAGTCGGCGCCCTTTCATTATTTAAGAAGTGCCTCTGGGGAGAACACAGCGAAGAGAAGCACACAGAGAATCTGAATCTCAGGAGTTGGCAGGCAACCTTGGGGTGCAGGCCAGCGATTTTCAACTGGTGTGCTGCAAGAATCTTTAAAACATGCAATGCCTGACTATTCAGTCGGGGGCACTGACCTCTTTTCCCTTAGATTGTCAAAAAAATGACAACAGCCAACACAACAATAGCCATTCAGTGAATGCCCGGTCTTGAACCATAAATACATAGGCTATATAATAGGGTTGCATCTTATTGGTCAAGTTGCATAACAAGGTTGCGTCTGATTGGCTAATTCTTGGTACCAGACATCCTTATATACACGTACAGGCACCTGACACACTTTATCATTGCACGCTGTGTCCTTGGGTGATGTGCGTGATTTTTATCATAATCAATCAACACTACTTCTATTTTTTTTTTTTGGTCAGGTCGGCAAAAATATGTATTTTTGTGTGCCGCAGAATTTTAGTAATTAGTTTCTGTATGCCATGAGATGAAAGAGGTTGAAAATTGCCGGTGTAGACGTATAAGGCTCTTTCTAAGAATCACTGGTAGCCAACCAGCACAGAAAGGGTTGGTTAAATGAGGCCAGCATCCTGCTCTGCTGCTGGAAACTGCTACATGTGGATTGCTGTATGTTAGAAAGATGTTCAATTAGAGCTGAAATGTGGCTCTCTGTCACCTCCACCCTGCTGTTTCTCATTTGTTCAAAACAAGCAAGCAAAAAAATTTATTTAGTGATCATTTACTTAATATTTATGGGGCACTAGGAGCCCAACACTATCAGGCTGGAGTGAGTGAGGGACGAATGAAGGGGCAGTGGACACTGGGGAGGAGTGTACGATTCTGGAATGGTCACTGCGGCCCGGATGTGGAGGGTGGACTAAACAAGAGCAAGACCACCGAAATGTCTAGAGAGAGAAGCAATGTGGAGGAGGTAGTGCCATCCGGAAGACAGAAAAGAGAGATTTCCCCTTCTACACAAGTCCTTGAAATACCTGCAGGGAGTGGCAGGCCCTCAGACTTCTAATCTGTGGGTTACATGACTCTGAGTGACCATGACCAGAGAGCGGCATGGCACAGTGTTTGAGGAGCAGGCCCTGGCACCAGAGAGCTAAGTCAAAATCTCACCTGTCACTTCGTATTAGTGGGATGTCATTGAGGTATTTAATGCCTCTGTTTAGGTTCTCTCATCTGTAAAATGGTTATAATAACAAGTTTGCTGGGAGGATCCACTGAGTTGAGAACAAGCAAATCCTACTGATGTTCCTGGCCAACACGATGGAGTTGCCTTGACTTCTCTCACTCCTCACAGCCAGTCTGGCAACAAGTCCTATTGGCTTTACTACCTTCTAAATACGTTCAGAATATGACCACTTCCACCACTGCCACCCTCCTGTCCCAAGCCACCATTATTTGTCACCAAGGTTATTGCAATAACCTCCTAAGTGGTTCATAACACAGCATAGTCCTGCTATGAAAACAAGTCAGACCGTGACACTTCTCTCTCAAACTCCTCCAATGGCTCTTGATCTGACCATGAAAAAAAGCCACAAGGCTCTATGGGGAATGTGCCAAGTCAAGGAATGCTAATATTTATACTTATCCTGGTAAGATTGACAACAATACAGGGGTGGGCAAAAGTAGGCCTACCGTTCATAGAAAAAGACATGCAGGTTATGATTATTACAATAGCTTTATTAATTCAAAAGAATGCCACAATGCAACCGTAAGCCTACTTTTTCCCCACCCCTGTATATACTATATTCCATATAGTAGATATTACATAACTATACTATTGTATATGCAATACATTACATATGCAATATTACAATAGTAATATATATAATATGTAATATATAACAGTATTTTGCTATGAAATTTAACAGATGAATTAGTAAATTTTATTCAAGATAGTTGGTCAAATATATACACACACACACACATATATATATACACACACATACACAAACATAAATATTGGCACATAAATTTTTCACATATATGCATATATATGTACGTGACTATACTTTTGGTTTAAATATAGTTTTAAGATTAGAAAAATGTAAACCTACGGGTAGTTACTTCTTTATGGAATTAACCAGTTTGTAAAAGAACTAATGATTCTGTACATACAAATAAAAATGTTCAAAAAAAGAACATTTTTTAGTTGACCAAAAGCTAAAACGTTTTTTGGGATCTCTACCCTGTGCCCAGGAAGCAGTAAATGTAGACTATCTATCCTTGAGAATCTCAGTGGCATCCCTGTCATCCTCTTTTTCTGGAGTTGCTGTGAGGCTCATTCACATATATACACATATATATCAAAATGCTTTTTATAAAAAAATGTTTCTTTATTGATTTCAGAGAGAGGAAGGGAGCATGAGAGAGAGAGAAATAGAAACATCAATGATGAGAGAGAGTCACCGATCGGCCGCCTCCTGTACACCCCTTACTAGGGATCGAGCCCACAACCCGGGCACGTGCCAACTGGGAATCGAACGGCGATCTCTTGGATCACAGGTCAATGCTCAACCACTGAGCACGCCGGCCGGCTCAAAATGCTTTTAAGCACTAAAGTACTATATAAATTTCAAGTATTCTTTTCTTTGAATAAGTTAAACAGACTTACATTTTCGACAAGCTAGTCAAACCTAATGAGGAATTAATACGTTTTCATAGTTTCAATGGAGCGCAAGTTATTTAAACATATTCAAAGTATCAGTAGTAATAAAACAACAAGAAAAAGAGCCCCCGTTAGCACTGCCCACTGTCTGTGAAGTGAACAGAAACATGATTGAGGACTGACTTCACTCTGAATTAAACACAGCATCACCGCAAGCCTCGAGAGATGGTATTAGGTTTTGTGCTTGGTTAATACTGGAAATTCTACAGGCAAGGGTAACATTATGTTTGGTTGGCAAAACGCCAATCAAAGTTCACACTTGTCATAAAAGTAGGTGGTCAAAAACCCTATTCTTGTCATTGAAGTTGTTGGCTACAGTTGCTTAAACTATCTAAATCTCAAAATCTTTTGTGCTAACTCATTTTGAAGATAAAACATTAAGAAATGAGATAAAATGAGGTTTAATAAAAAAGATACTGTATTAAGTTGGAAATGATCTTGGGGAAAAAGCAGGTCCAGTGAGACTGAGTACACTGAATAAAAACAAAAACTAGAATTGGATTTTTCAAGTGGCATCATCAGATATTTACAGTCTTTGAATTTATTTCTTCATGAGAAATGGACTCAGAAACCAAGGTAAGAGGGAGGTGCACTCACAGCCTTTTCTCTGTTCTCAAAATACATGCTGCAAATTTTCTAGAGTTCATAATACATGTCTCAAAAGAAGCCTTCACTTTTGTTGGGAGTACGTGCTCTTTGATATGTCTGGTTTTGCTGTAATAGTATATAATGCCTCTCTAATAAATTTAACCACTAAAATTTTTTTTAATGTGTCTGCATTCTGCTAATTTATAAAAAAACAGGATGCTGTCAGATAAAATTTCATGAAAATGATCTATAAACCAGACTGTCAAAAGTGAAAGGTGCTCAGGCAGTACTTAGGGGCAGCGAGTACACGGAAACCACTGGACAGGTTTCCTGTGACCATGGGAAAACAATGTACTGGAACGGAGCTCACGTTACTTTCATTTGCAAGTTACTGTGAGGTCACAGGAAATCCTGAAATGTTTTCCACATTTTCTTTTATACATTTTATGTCAAATTTCCTGCAATTGAAATCATAAACCCTCCTACTGCTGGAATCTCCTCTGAAGGAAAGGAGATCTTGTGACATTCCCCCATGAACACCTAATAACTCAATTCCTACTAGGGTAACAAGAAACTGAAAGACAGAATTGGAAATGGACTATGATAAGGCTGAAATGTCAGATGTCCTAACTCTTTCGAAACGAAAACCAATCTGATGTCGTTAAGACAACCCTAAAAGTGCATTTAATCTAGTGACAGTGGGCTTTTCTCTAGAATAAGAGATAACAGAAGAAATGATAGACTGTCTCAAAGATATCAGCCCACCATTTCCCCAAATCTCTCATCCAAAATGTATTTGTGGATTTATGTTCTAATTTTAAAGTGGTATTTTCTATATGGATATTCTTAACATGATTCACGCTCCCGACAACCATATTTTACCGTCCCCGCTATGTTTATGAAAGGATAAGTCAGATTTAAGTTAAACGTCTGAGTTTAAAATAGTCTCTCAAGATTTATTACAACTGTGGAATTTAAAAATAGCTTTTAAATGGTGAAATGCTCTATTTGAATATAAATCCAAGCCAAACAACTCAGGTTCATTAATGAAGAGAATACCAACTTTTAGGGTTTGTTGGTACGAGGACACATTACCTCTCCTGACATGTCCGGGGCCATCGGAACAGCAGGCCACAGAGATGAGTAGATCCCGAAGAACACCACCCAGAGCGCAATGCTGCCCCAGATCGCGATGTGGCTGAACTGCAAAGGACGGGGACCGGAGTCAGAAGACTTTTGGGTAGATGGGGAACACAGACACTAATAAAGCTCTCACAAATTCCCTTATTAATGTTTTACGACAGCCATAAAATATTATCTATGGACATTTCTAAATAACTGTCTGTGGGTTTTAACTGGATCTTTCATTAAGCGCTAATCTCTTTCCACAACAGTTATGATGTTTGTGGCACTGGCATTTGGAACTGTTCTTGCTCTACCTCCTTTAGTGAGTCTCACCTCTCTTATTTTTTTTTTAGTTTACTTTTTATTTTTAGAGAGAGAGGGAGAGGGAGAGAGAGAGAAATATCGATGTGAGAGCGAAACATGGATGGGCTGCCTCCTGCACGCCCCCTACCAGGATCGAGCCCGCAACTCAGCCGTGTGCCCTGACTGGGAATCGAACCGGCAACCTTTTGGTGCATGGGACAACACTCAACCAAGTGAGCCACACCGGCCAAGGCACTCTTGTTTTTTTAAAAATCTCCTGCCATATTTAAGCCTCCTTGATTTTTTTCTCTGCATGCTCTCGCTGAAAGGTGTTAGACACTTGTGCGAATACTATTTGTATGCCCATGACAGTCAAATCCAAATTTCTTGTGTCGCTCTTTCCCCTGAGCATCAAACTTGTATTTTCTTTTTCTTTTTTTGTTTACTAGGTCTGTCTACCTGGATGCGAATATACTTCAAAACTAAGGCATCTAAAATGGAACGTGTTTTATCCATAATGGATATTTATAAATGTCTGAGGACAAATCTTCCACTAATATTAGTCTTCCGAATCATTTTGCAGTGGGTTTTCTGCAGAATGCTAGTCTTGTAACACACTCCACTAAGAAAAGATTCCTTGTTATTAAGTTTAAAAGCTTCCCCGGTTTCTGGGATATTTACAATATACAATAATATATTGAAGGCTCTGAGAAGTCTTGTAAATAAACTTGTTTTACTCAGTGTTTCCAAACAAGAATCCCTAGTTCTCCCTCTTCCATCCCTGACCCCTCAAAATTAACAACCTGTAGCAGGAACTAGGGTTAAAGGATACATAAAGTTAGAATGACAAACTATAAAAAAAATGACAATAACACATAAGTAAATGTGACATTTCTAGGTTGAGATTAGAGATACTCTTACCCATGTCCAATACGATGTCTCTAATCCAGCTTTCAAACACACAGTTATCACCACAAACTAAAAAAGAAGGGAAATGTTACTTTTAAAATAAATATGACTGTTCATAGAATGACTAAAAGTGAGATTTAGAAAGAACGGGTATCTCTGAATTAGACGATCAAACTAGATTATTCACAGTTGGCCTTGTACGTCTAACAAGCAAAGAATCAAGTAAATTAGCTGGGTGGCTGAGCATTACCACGGTGACCAGCCAGGACTGTCTGCCAGTAGCTTCGCTCTCTTGCCTCCCCCACGGCCTTACAGTCCATCCAGGAGGCCCGAGCGTGCGTCTGCCTGCTTCTTGCACAATTCATGAGTAGTTATGGAGGCTACGCCTGCAGTACTTGGGTTTTAAAGCTTGCTTTATTTTATTTAATTTTATTTATTTTATTTTATTATTTTATATCATCTTTACTATATAGGTTCCCTACTTTCTGAATTTTAAAGATAAATTCTAAAATTAATATAACTGGGTATTTAGAAATCTAAGCACTTCGTAACCCTTCTTACTGTAAACTCTGCAGAGCAGGACAGAAGAGCTTGTTATATGATGCGAACACCATCCATTGTCGTCGGTGACTATGCTACTAATTCTGAAGTAAGGGAGCCAGGTTTAATGAACTGCCCTGGATTTTCCATAGGATCACATAATGGTTAAGTGGACTTGCCCTGGAGTCGGACCATGTGTGCTCAAGACTCCATCGTTTTTTATTTACTGTTTTGGTTAAGGAACGAGGCAAATTTCTTGACATCTGTGTGTGTCAGCTCCTTCATCTGTGAACTGGGGCTGATAAAACTCATCTACCTTATCACGTCTGAGCATAAAACACCAAGAACAGTGCTTAGCACTGTACTTCATCTATTATTATCAATTTGTAATTAATAAAATTTTAAACATTGTCAGTAGTCAAGGGAACTCTGGACACGTTCAGTAGTTTGCAGTGAGGGAAGTCATGTTGCTGAAATGTCCCCAAGGAGTGGAGATTTCTCTCCCATCATGGTTATCATAAGACTCTAGAATAATCACTGGTTAAACACCCAAGAATAGTAAAAGCAAAAAAAGTATTAACAAGGACAGTAAAATAAAACAGGAAAAAGGGAACAGGAAGAGAACAAGGGGAAATAGGGGGCAATCAGAGTGAAGAGGGAACACAAACATAGGAGCAACCGAAGTCCTATGAAGTCAGTGAACCTAATGATATTTTAATAACCTAATACAGAACACTATCTTACTAATCCAAACATCTCATTTCATTCTTAAAGGGAAGTGCAACCAACCCTTAAATCCAGAAGTGCACACATTTAAATTAGAAAATGAAATGAGCACCTATGAAAGGATACCCTTTTACGTGCAAACCAGGCAAATGTCGGGCACTCACTGTGTAAACAAAGTTTCCCAGCAGCAGATAATCGGAGGTTTTCCCGTTTCCAAACACAGTACCTGCATGAAAAGAAGAGAGGATTGTTAGAAAATAAAATAAATGAGGTCCCTTCAGAATCCTTTCAGAGGTAAGTCAACTCAGGAGTGGTGAGCAAAAGAACTGGAACTACGTGCCACACAACGGAGCTAGAAATAAGGCTAAAAAATGAACTGCAGGGAGTCTCACAAAGTTGCTATAAATATGGGTCACAGGTTGAAAACAAAGAAGGAAACCTGACTTGTTAACCAATTCTCAGGGTCCATGAAATTAAAAAAAACCCCACAGAAAACTAATTGCTCAAGCAAAGCTCAATGCTGTGAACACTGAGACAGGAGGACCTCTGAACCTTAATAGAGAAATTTGATAACAATACAGATGAGGGGTCAGGGAGCCTTCTCACTGTCCCTCAGTGAAGTTGTTGGCAATGGACCAAAGAGATTCATAAGAGGAACTCAGGTGGATGAGGGGCACCAAGGGATTCAGGCATATGGTTCTTTGCAAATTTGGCTGAATTTAGGGGTATAGCTTAAGGTATTTTGTTATTCCAGTAATAACTAATGAACATGGCTTCAGATGAAGGGAGTGGTAGCTAACATATTAAAAGCACTATTATTGACTTTAAAAAATCAAGTGAAAATTTAAGAAATAATTGAAAAATTCATTGGTGTCATGGAAAATTTAAAACCCATGGTATGTGTAACACAATATTTTATTTATATCTACATTCAACAATAATATTCAAAGCTGGATATGTAAGAACAAATGTTAGAATAAAGCATGGGAAGAGTCCGAGAGAGTGGTGCTGGTATTGAAGAGAAAAGGGAGTCGGCTGAGCTTCGGAGACATAGACAAGGTTTCTGCTACTACTTGTGTCTTCTTGGGTAATTTATATTCAATCTCTATGGAACTGTTTCTTCACTTAAAAGATGGGGTGAAACTCCTACCCTGTAGGGGCTTTTCAGTTAAAATGAGGTGACACACATAAAGTACCAAGCAGGGTGCCTGGCACACAGCAGATGTTCCAGAAAGCGACTCTTCCCGCTCTAAAGCCTCACAGCCGCCTAGGAGACCCCTGCCTCGTGGTATGGGCCTCGCATCTGATGGGCTACGTCTTGTGGGTAGCAGGCTTGCAAACTTCTAAATGTTTGCAATTAATCTGCAAATTTCCATACAACAAAATTAACAAATTCAGAAATGTATAAAATCACTGAAAATATCTCAATTACATCTTTAAGTATGTGCTTCTGCTATGTGCCATACTGATTAGTTCCCATGGCCAATGTAAGCAAGTTACCAAAAATAATCACAGTTGCCCGGCCAGGCGTGGCTCAGCAGTGGAGCATCGACCTAGCATCCAGGCGATCGGGGTTCGATTCCCGGTCAGGGCACATGCCTGGGCTGTGGGCTCGACCAGTGACTCTCTCATCATTGATATTTCTATCTCTCTCCCTCTCCTTTCCTCTCTCTGAAATCGATAAAGATATATTTAAAAAAAAAAAAATCACAGCTGTTCCAACTAAGCCATCTAATCACCGTTGGTTTGTCAGAAAGAAGACAGAGCTTCATTTCAAGATCCCATGGAGTATAAAAAACACAAGCCAGTTAGGTTTGCCAGGTTTAGCACTTGGATGATTCCAATGAACCATTTGTTCTTGTACTTTCTGGTCTCTGGACCCTTAACAGTCTTAAAACTTATTGAGGATCCCCAAAAGCTTTATTTATGTGATTTCTAGTTATATTTACCAAATTAGAAATTAAGACAGCAAATTTAAAAAGAGGTACTGATTTATTTAAAAATAATAACAAACCCAATAAATGGTAATACAACCAATTTTATAACAAATAACTATTTTCCAAAACAAAAACAAAAAAGAGAGAGAAAATAGGCACTGTTTTACATTTTAAAAAATCTCTTTAATATCTGGTTTAACAGAACGCAGCCAGATTCCCTCTCCCACCCTACCTCCCCTTTGTCTTTGGTGAAATATATGAGGGAAACCTGACTTTACAGTGGGATGGAGTTACAAAGGGGAGGAGTCTTGTAACAATCTTTTCCAATAACTCAACAAGTAGTTTCTTAGAGAGGGAGAGTTTCTGAAGGCGAGGTGCAGAGTGGAGCTGTGGCAGTCTGTTACGCTAACACGCGTGGTCCGCCCGGCACTCGGGCGGGATCTGCTACCCACGCGTGACGCTGCAGACTGCTTTCCTGCTACCCATTTCGTCACACAGAGTATTAGTGGATCTGTACCAGGTGTAGAGGCTTAATAAAGGTATCAGTTTAACAGTCTCTTCAAGGGTATTCTTAAAGTGAAACGGGCTCTTCTGGCTGCTTTTTAAATGTGGGGGCATGGCAATGAGGAATATGACTACTGGCACCTCCGTTGTGCCAAGTACCAGCAGCCTACCCATCACTGCCCTTGCACAGCAGTGGAGAAGGCAGTGTCTTGATAATATTATAAAAAACGTGAAACTATGGAGTTCTGACCTCACGGCCCTAACGGACCACCAGAAGGTCTTAGGTATCCCCAGGTGTCTACAGACCACACTTTGAGAACTGCTGAAGTAAGTGGATAAGTAAGTTTATCTGAAAAAATAAACTTTAACTGGAGAACTTGCCTAAGGTCAAGGAATCCTGAACTGCACTCTGGATTCCAATACCCCACGGCCCCAGAAAGTGGAAGTAATCCAAATGTCCATCAGCTGATCCGTGGATGCCAAACGAGGTACAGCCATACCATGGCATCGTTTTCAGCCAAAAAGAGGAATGGGATACTGAGTCATGCTGCGGCATGGAGAGGCCAAGGTTCCACTTCTGTGAGAGGTGCAGAGCAGGCGAATCCACAGGGACAAAAACCAGTGGTTCCCAGGGGCTTGGCGGAAGGTGGGGAGAAGTGGGAAGAGACTGCGAATGGGTATGGGGCGTCCTTTACGGAGTGAGGAGATGCTCTGGCATTAGATAGTGGTGACATTTGCATTATTTTGTGAATATACTAAAAACCACTGAATCATGTAATTTAAAAAGGTGAATTTTATGATATGTGAATTATATGTCTAAAAAAAAAAAAATTTCCCATTGTGGTTCTCCTAGCTTATGAGCTCAATATTCTATACTTTAATTAGATCTCTTACCACACTCACTTCTGTGGCCTAAAAAAATGAGAGGTATTTACTGCTCCACTGGCAAAGCAATTCGTAAAGACGCGAGATAAAAACCTCCGCCTAGGACATGAAACCGCCGCCTTCTCATAACCCCCCATTCATGCCGCGCGCCCGTGTTAACTCGACAATTTACCGAGTGCCTACGGTGAGCCGGGCTCCCTTCCAATACTGTGCATACACCAGTGAGCTAATCGCACAATTCCCCGGCCGTCCGGAACTTTGATTCCAACAGAGGAGAGGCAATACAAAACAAGTGGAGATATCACACCCTGATGGACGAGACGAGAGGGTAAGGGGAGAGAGCGACGGGGCGGCGGGAACGGCCTCTCTGAGCTGCAGGAACGCCTGGGTGAGGAAAGGGGCAGTGCCCGGCCAGCAGGGGGCATGGGGAGGGGGAAGTGGGCACAACTCAGACGAAGGCTGGGGCTGTGGGTTCAGTTCTCAATGGGACAGGAGCCCGTGACTTTCTGAGGAGAGGCGCCTGGTCCGACGCACGTGTTGCAGGGGCCGCTCTGGCTGCCGGGGATGGGCCTGGCCTGCGGGGCCGGGAAGCCGGACAGCTCTCTCCTGCTGGCAGCTACCAGCTCTGCTTCCCAGGGGCTGAGAGCCCTCGGGGGAATTTTAATTACTATAGTTTGGGAGCAGGGGCACTGAGTGGTCGGCCGTCTTCCTCAGGATCGCAAGGCAGCACCCGCTTCAGCATCGCAGTGAGATTTTTTTTTCCTAAAGTGGCTACTTCATCATTTTTATGCGTATAGGAAATTCGCCATGATCCTATCTCTCAAAACTGACAAGAGTAACATCACTTCCTCAAAACAAGCGGAGAAAAAGCTTACGCTCCAAGATGAACATAAAAACAGATTAAAACTCTCATTCAAGACATCGGCTCAAGGACGCTTGAAAATACCAGCATGTCTGATCAGGCTCAGGATAAAGAGCTTGATACAAGCCCCATAGGTATAATAAATGGACTACATAAAATATCAGCACCATTGTCTTCAAACAATACATCAGCAGAGGACAAAAAGAGCCCTAAAATTTAATTCTCTGCAAGTTGGGAAAACATGAGAAGTAGAGAAGAAAGGCTTTGCATATATTAAATCACTTTCTCCCCAAGGAATAATAAAAACCTTTAAAGTGCGCACGACTTTTGGATGCATGCATTTTAGGTTAAGGAACACCACATAATGAAACACTGCTATACTTCTTAACATATATTGACAATGAATTATTTTTCTAAAAAAGTAAGAAGTCATTTCTTAGCATTCATATCCTTTCTACTTACCATACTGAAGGGCTTTTAGTGGAAACCAAAACAGAATAACTGAGTGGAACAGGCCATTTAAACAATGAACCCAGAAAACCTGAGGGAAAACAAAAATCCATGAGAACCATTTGCGATAAACTAGCCCTGTGAACTCTGACCTTTCTTTTTATCTGTGAGCTAGATTCACAAAATGTGCCTCTGTCGGGCCACCACTGTGAATTAATAGAACTGACAGACACTTTCTGCCTCTTAGACCTTCATGGGTCATTTATTTATTTTTATGTTTCTCAAAATGTTTTTTCAGCTTCACTAAAATTTTTTTCTACCTTTTAAAACCGAGTATTAAAAGCTTAAATTTCTGCCTGAGAAAAGAAAATTAAAAATAATGCAGATCCTGAAATTCTTTTAAGGGGGACTATATCCTTAATTCCAGAAGAAGAGAGTTTTGAAAAGACCGTAATTTGGTGCAATCCTTACTTTCTCTTTCCCACGTGCAATTAAAGTGTGAACTTCTCAACGGGAGAAATATAATGCATTCACATTCTCTCCCTCCCCATATATAGGTATTTACATACACATACACATATATTATATACTAAAACCTGCAGGTATTACATTTACATTGTATAATTCCTTAGAGTAAAGCATTGTTAATATAACTGAGTTTATAAAAGGCTTTCACAATTTTTAATGCCTGTCAGCATGAAACTTTATACAGTTATAGTATCACTGCATAGTTATTACTTTGTACATCAATTGCATTTTAAGAACAGAGCAAGTATCACTAGTACGTGCTTTGTTACATGGATATGAAAGATTAAGTTATAGAAAAACTGTTTAGAATTCTTACAACCCTTGGAACAATTGCAGTTTGTCACTTAAAAGTGATTCTTGCAAACAAAACTTATGCTAAATAAAATTGTCATGTATTAATAGTTTTAAGCTGTTCAAACAACAGAAATTAAGTTGCCTGCCTCCCAAAATTTTCCACTGTGCTTTCAGTCTCCTTTGTTAGTTCACGCAGCCACACTGGATTGTATGATCCAATTTACGCTCCAATACATTACACATTTGAACTTGTGTTACTCATTAACCTTTGTCTCTTCTCCTCACTATGTCATTACCACAAGTTTTTATTTGACAGAAAGCACAGGTGGGTGCAAGAAAAATTAGTTCTACTTTTCCATTTTCCTGACCGCTACTTATTGTCACATGCTAATCCTTTAACCCCTGTCATGACCTCAGAACCTCTGAGACCCTTTTTACCATAACAAACACAATCGTCGTCATTCAGGGCAACAATGCTGCTCCACTGGGGACCCAAGCAACTGCTGTGTACGCAACTATGCATTTTGTAGCCACTTGTCTCTGAATTTTAAAACACTCATATGGGATTTAATCAAAGACTTTTCACTGAAATCGTAAGAAAAAAATCCATAAATCCTACAAAAAATGGTGGGTAACGCAAGGTATGTATAAATACTCAAATGGATACAGAAGTACAGGGGTGGGCAAAAGTAGGTGTATAATTGTTCATATGGAAGACGACAAATAAAAAAGTAATACAAGAATAAACTGTGTTTTGTGTTCTCCCAACTGTAAACCTACTTTTGCCCACCCCTGTATAATCTGTTTGGGTTGATCTGATGACTTTATTTTTGATCGGATGACTTTTTAAAATGCATGGTTTCTGCAGATAACAAAATACTTTGTAAACAACCCAAAACAGTAAAGTTTGCAAGGAAGGATGCGTCCACATTAACACTATACTACCCGCTACACCTTTTCCCTGGCCACAAGCCGTGTCCAAGCTGCACCGCACAGAGGACACGCGAGGACGCGGCTCTCCAGGAATGGCTCTGGGTAGCCCTGTGGGAGTCTGTGTCTATGGGCGAGAGCTCCACGGCCGAGTGTGTAGAGAGCACCGGGTGCCTGAGCCACGGTCGTTCGGGGACCTGTGGCTGAGGTGATAGCATGGTCTAGGCTGCTGAGAATCACTGTTAGTATCCCAGGACGTCTGCACATTCCTAGCTCTCAGATCACTTTTCCAGGGAAATAAGAGCTCCCAGACCACGGGGGCTTCCCATTTGAAAATACCCACCACAGGTAATGAAAAAAATTACAGCAAGGTGGTGGAAATGAACGCAAGCTGGGGATCATAAATAAGTTTTTAAAAATCCAAAAATAAAACCTTCAAAAATGAAAGCATACACATTTCATATCACAAATAGTAACAGTTTTAAGAGACAACTAAAAATACTTTTCAGAACCAATGGTGTAAGTCTAAGAACCCTTCAGTTTTCTTTTTTAATTAACCAAATTCAGTTATCTAAAATAATGTCATCAAGGTGCATGTATGTGCACACCTGGACGTGCGTGCACACCTGGATGTGCGTGCACAGGGCATTCATGAAGACCTAGTTTCAGAAGGTGAACACCATCCTGGACTAAACGCAACACTGACGTTTATGGGGTAAGGTTAGAGGCACTGAAACACCTATTCCATTTTATTCTCTTGGAATGCTATTTGAGAGCTTTAAAAATTAATAAATATTTAAAATACCCTACACTAACTGTCCTGAATTCAAAATACTGAACCCAGGTAACATCTAATTACAAGTAACATGCTAATAAACATGTGCTGTATTAAATGGGAAACATTCTGTTACTTTCATTATAGTTTCAAAATGCCATCTATCTTGACTGTTAGGAAATTAAAAAAAAATTTTTTTCCTCTCTCACACTAAACAAAAACTAGAATTACTAGAAAATACCACTGGAAACACTTTAGAACATGTATTTGCAGGGGAGTAAACTATGCAGAAAATGAGCCATTTTTGCTGTTGGGATGAATAATACCATGGATCACCAGAGACGACAACAGTCATGCCATGTCACGCAGGATATAAACCCCGAGTATGATTGTAGATAAAATGTTGGATATTTCATCTTGCATTTTAAATGTTATGGCTTGGAAATACTGAGGATTATAACTGAGTTATTTTCTAGAGATTATACTTTTTAATGCTCGATACAAACAATCTAATATTCTAATGGAGACAAAGCTCACAAAACAAAAAATCAGTAGAGAAATTTCCATCACCCCTCACCACCCCACACATGTAAAGTCCTTGTCAGTCTTTGATGACCGGTGACCACCACTTCCCTGCAGAGACGGAAAGTCAAGGGGTGAAAGGACACTCGGGTCTGTCTGCCAGACCCAGTTTCCTGCTGCCTGGCAAGTCCTGGTGAATCGGTGAATCGTGGTTACATTTTAATTTTATAACAAAACAAACACCTTCTCAGTCGGTAGCAGCGCCTTAGGCAAGTCTGAGTCGCCATGGTCCACAGCCTGGAGCTGTTTCCCTGGCTCTGGAAGGCCAGGCGCCCCAAGTAGTTACAGCAGCAAAGCAAGGCCCCGGGACATCACGTCCTACCTTGGTGTTGAAGTCCAGGGCGTTCTGAGACGTTTTGTATAATTCAGGATACTTCAACATATTCTCTTTTCTGCATGATCTCTCAAAGATTCCGAGAGTTAAGGGAGGCATTGCTGTAAACATCTGAAATGCACAAACCGATCATTACACCAAGCAGCCAAAGGCAGGGTGAACCTTTATCTCAAAGTATGCAAGGAAACGGGCAAAACCGAGTGTCCCAAACTTACCACATTATAAAGACCTATACACCATCTCTCAAAGAGGATCTGTCCAGAAAAGCCATTAACAAAGGCAAACCAGATCTAGAAAGAAAACAAATCCCCAAAATTAGGACACGCAAAATAAGTGCATTGTGCAGAATCTGTTGTATACTCAACCACTGCATAACAGCATAATATTTCCACGACTCTCTTGAAAATGGTGTCTCTTTGCTTTAGTTTATAATTTGAAGGGATGCTTTCACAAGGGATTTGTTATTCAAGTCAAAATTGGTTCCACTTGTTGGATAAAAAACAACTGTATCAATAGGCAATCACAGATTTAAAAAAAATCAAAAATCATCTTGTTTTCTAAAAGGCACTTCAAGGAATATATTTTATGACAATAAATTTTTAGAACTTCATTTCCCTTTTAAAATAGCTCCTGATAGCCTGGCTGACGTGGCTCAGTGGTTGAGCGTCGACCTATGAACCAGGTCACGGTTTGATTCTGGGTCAAGGCACATGACCGAGTTTCGAGCATGACCCCCAGTAGGGAAGCGTGCAGGAGCCGGCTGATCAATGACTCTCATCATTGATGTTCCTCTCTCTCTCTCCTTCTCCCTCCCTGTCTCTGAAATCATTAAAAACATATTTATTGTTTAAATAAATAGTTTTATGTAAATATTATTGTTGCTTTTACTATAAAAGAACACGTTGAGTGCAGGAACTGTTGAGTGCAGATAACAGAACGATAGTTATTTAAATATTATTGTTGCTTTTATTATAAAAGAACACGTTTATTTAGATGAAATAATTTCCTATAATAATACCACCACCATTTATTTTCTTCTGTGTTAATTGGATTCATATAGTTCATTTATATACATTCATAAATTTACCTTACAGAAAACCTACTGATGGAGTGCCATGTCCTGCTCCTCTCCCTCTAAACATCATGTAATATACATTTTCAGTTGTTACATATCCTTTAAAATGATGTTAATGGATGTATAACCTTTATAGGGTGGCTATAACTACTTCTGGATATTTAGCTTGCTTCCAGTTTTTGCTATTATATATAATTCTGAACTGAATATTCTTACACGGAAGTCCCACACGTTTCTATTTCTTTAGAATGAATTCTTTTTCTTTGTAAAAGGAAGCTTCATTGAAATATAATTGATATACAATAAACTGCAGACATCTAATGTATACAATTTGGTGAGTGTGAACAAATGTGTATACCTGTGAAGCCATCACCATAATCAAGACAACAGACATAACACCACCTCCAAAAATTTCCTGTGCCCCTTTGTTTTTGTTTCCTTTATTTTTTTTAGGATGAATTCTTAGAAGCTGAATTAGTGGGTCAAAGTATATGAACTTTAAAAAAAGTTCTTGATAATTACTGCCATCAGAATATAAAATCTGAATTTATATATTAAAATATTTTATAACTGAAATTTATGCTTTGATAAAAATAAATCTTTACCTTTCAGAGCATAATGTTTTTATATATTTGCAATTTTCTAGAAATCTTAATGTTGGATACAAAATTAAGGGACAATATAGAGAAACGTTATCCAACCTGTTTAAGACAAATGGTAACTCAGAGTGATATTACTAAATCAATAATTCCTACATTATTTGAAATGTAATTAAAATCATGTTGACCTGGAAGAGTAAAAAGTCTGGGCCGGCAATGAGGTTACATAAACACAAACACAAAACCAAAACACAACACCAACAAAAAACCTGTTTGAGGAACTCAGGCGTGACAAGCCGCGCAAGGGAATGTTTGAATCGGAGTTGCAGGGACTTTGCTACACTTCACGTTTCATTGAACCTCATTAGGGAAGCATGAATTGCTACAAATTCACCATTTATCAATATGTACCCAGGCCGGCCCCCCTAGGAACAGTTTCTGTACCCACACTGGTCTTTTTCCTTTTTACAGTGGAAAGGAACTGTTGAGTGCAGATAAAAAAACAAACGTTTGCTTCAGGAGATGAAAAAGAAAACAAAGTAGCGACAGCAGGTGAAAAACAAGTCCAGATTGTGTTAGGGTTGTAACACACATTAACAACAACAACAGAAGCATCGGCGAAGGAGTCAAATCTGAAATTGTTGCTTGCTTTGCAGAAAAAATGTATTTTTCTTTTTTGACAAGACAGACTTTAACACTTGTTACTGTGTTTTCACACTTGGCCTTTGTGAGATGTGGATTATGTAGATACGTATTTGTGATGCTTTGGGTGATGGAAATGTCCTCTCTGAAGGTGACTGTGATCTATTATATTACATACAAAGAAGCTCTTTCCCATTTCCTAGGGTATGATGGAAATATAGGGAATTATTAAACCCAAACTTTCAATTATGGTCTCACTCGTCTAGGAAGATGCAGCCTAATCTTTGTTGGTCTGAAGAGAGGCAAAGCTACTTGCATACCAAATTCATCTAATGGATATGAATCAGCTCAAAGGTTATAGTTATAAATGCACCTGCAATCATCATTACTGAAAATACGAGAAATTTATGTTAATCAATATATTGTGAGTAAACATTTGTAAATGTGAACAGTTTCCTAGCTTCTTCGTACACAACATGAGGTGCTGATTCAAACGTTCTGCTATGAGCTTGGAATTTAAGACCCTCCCTTAATCTATGAATATGTACAAAGTTTCAAACTCCAAATAATTTGCAAATAAGCCAACATGTCTGCATTCAAAGTTTATTTTAAAAATGCATGCATCTACTGCTTTCTGACAGAAATGCAGAAATTTTTAAGTGGATAGCTATAAATACATTTTTACTTTTATTTTTCCTACTGAAAGATGTGCAGAAGTTTTTAGATACTCTCTTCCTTTTGAAAAAGTTAGGAATTCCTCTTTAAAAAAGGAGAAATGACTAGATGAGAGCAGAACCTTCCAATATAGTGCCCTATGCCTTCACACAAATATTCTGGCATTCGCCGAGAAAGAGAAGTAGTCCACCAGAAGGCTGATTTCAAGTTAGTGTGAGATCTGTACTTAAAAGATACATTAGAAACATATCTCACACTAAATAAAACACCACCTACATCACTACAGATACATTAAAGTCTCTCCTTTGACTCAACCAAAACCACAGATGCAGAAAGAAACCCTCAGTTCTTCTGCAGAGGTTTAGAAATTATTTAAATTCACAGGAAAGCCACATCCCAGCACAATGTGCTGGGAAAAGATCACCTCATTGACTAATCAATGATTCTGGAAACTAGAAACACTACATTGTTTGGGGATCTTACCAGAAAACTTGGATGCAACCAATCGTTAGAAAAGAAAAGGTCTTATTTTGGTAGGAAGGAGTCAGATGTCTCAAAGAAATTTTACAAAAATCTCTTGAGAAAGAGCCAGTAATTTCAATGCACATCTAGAGCAGCTGCTGGCGGCCACCTGCTGAATCTGCAGGATTTGTTGGGCTGCAGTGTGTGGCAATGGAGTAGCCAGAGAGCGACATTCCCGGCACCAGTTTCTGCAGCTAACCCAAGACCACAGCGTTCCCGCCTCTCCTGCAGGCTGCCCCTCCCGCATTCTTCCAGGCCCGTCCCGCAGAGGCCTGGCAGTTACGCCGCAGGCCTTTCCCTGGGAGCGTCTGTGCGTGTCCAGCCGCGCACACAGCCAGGCCGCCCTCCGCTCCCACGCCCGGTCGCACAAACGCCGACAGGAGACTCAGGACCGGCAGGTGTCCTCACCAGAGACATTCAATGGTGTGTTTTCTGTCTGTCCACTCACAGTATTGACATGAGCCGTTAACATCTGCAGGACTTGTTTTAGCTGGCAAAAGTTGGGTATCTGGGGCTTGATTGAAAAGGTCAATTTGTTTCCGAGATAGTTGAATTCTATTCAAAATACATCTCCATAAAGTGCCAAAAGAGAAATAATGTAAAATGAGATTTCCAGTAAAGTTTAGGACTTACTTCCTTTCCTTTCTATTTTTGTGAAATTGAATTTATTGGGGTGACACTGGTTCATAAAGTCATATAGATTTTAGGTGTACAATTCTATAATACATCATCTGCATGCTCTATTGTGCTCTCACCGCCCCAAGTCAGGACGTCCTTCCTTTTCAACACTTAAAGAATTTGGTCAATGTTAAATAAATCTCATGAAAGGGCTTTAAATTCAAAGCCAAGTGAAATTTAGGGTTAATCAAACACAAATCATATAACTCTGGATGAAACAAATTACAGATTTAGTTTTCCATTTGAGTTTAATTATTTTATTTCCCCCATTAGTACATAAGTTTTACCCAGTTCACTGCTGGTTGTCAAATGATCTAGGTTTAAAAGAAATAAAACCAATGAGTTGAGTACTCATTTCATTTTATAAAATTAATAAATCTGTAAGCAGATTTATTGCTACCAATGGCTTTAAGCTCCTAGATCTTCAAAAATATATGTAAATAAACTATATAAACTGCCATTATTTTGAGTGAGAAAAAAAATTAGAAAAGCTAATATAGAAAAGCTAATATAATTAGAAAAGCTAGTAACTATAGAGGAGACTGGTACTCAAAAATAGTTATTGTAGAAAAAAGTCACAAATTTATATATACAATAAAGAACACATAGTTTTTGGATCTCATAAGCTATTTTGGAGGTGTGCTTCGCTTCAAAACACAGACCATTATAGACCAAATCAGCAGTAATAAACAATAAGGAAGTTCACCGATTATCCTAGTTATGTTTCCAAGTATTTGATTATATTACCTAGTGGGTTTTAACCTAATTATAGATTTTTAGTGGACAATAAATAAAATTGCCTGCACCCATGAACACTAAGTTTCCATTTTACCAGCTGACTCCTAATAAGAACTATGCTCGGTCAACATTTTAATGAGATGACGCTCCCAGGGAGGCATAAAGAGCTGAACCAATCACACGGCAGTTCCCACGAACCTGTCAATAAGGTAAGTGAGAAATCTAGATTTTTTTGGTTTACATTGTCACTTCTCTGGTGTGAAGTAGGTGATCTTATTTTCACACAGCAATGGTTAGGTGCAGGGACAGTCCGCAGGTGAGGGGCAAGGTGGAGTACACCAGCACCGTAAGGGAGCCCTGGGCACATTGATGAGGGGCCTCTGACAGGAGAGGCCGGCGGAGGGTTTTCTTAACGAGCTAAGGAGAGCTCACCTTCATGCCGAGGAGCTGCAAGAGGAGCAAGAAACTGATAATATCTAGAGTTTAAGCAGTACAGGCAGAGCTTCCAAAGAGAATGGCCATGTGTGAAAAAAAGGTAAGTGGCTTCTGCCTCACTTCCTGACGGACCGTTCAGGCCGCTTACTTACGTGCTAGTGCTTCACTGTGCACTACGGCAGCCACCAATAGCACCTGATTTTGAACACTTAGTACAAAGAAAAGAATGTAAAATATCACATTACAATTTTTTTATGGTGATTATATGTTGAAATGGTACTACTGAATATATTGAGTTCAATAAAGTATCATTTAAAAATTAATTTGGGCTTTAATTTTGACTTGTTGCTCATGTGGCTTCTAGGAAATTTAAAATCACACACGCGGCCTGCATTGCATTTCTACGGGCAAGCTCCCGGAGGGCAGGAAGCATGCTTGATTTACTCTGTAGCTGCTGAGCAAAGCCTGGGGCCTGGCACCCAGTAGATGCCGTAAAATTGTTTGTAGGACAGAATATATCTCTTCAGAAGTGATATTCCTGACCCAGGTTAAGTTTTCATTTAAAAAATGATGTTATGTTTGATACATAAAAAGGAATTTGGAATTTCTTGCTATCAAGACACAGGAATGAAATATTCTGATAATTTTAAGGCTAATTCCTCATTACCTAAGCTCTTGCTACCAACCAAACTCAGAAACCAAAACGGATCTGGATAGCAAGGGATACTTGTGTACGTGTGTATAAGTATCTAAGTTTGAAACATAGTAAGAACTACAAGATGACCAATACTAGCAAAACCACCTACGTCTCCTTCCTGATTCTGCGTCTTTAACCACTGCCCCAAGTAGAATGGCCTTCTTCAGTTTTATGTCCATCATTCCCTTCATCTTCTTTTAAAGGACTTTTCCATGTGTGTATCCCTAAACAGCGTATTGTTTTCTCTTGTATGCTTCTGAGCTTCATAAAAAATTCTATATAGTTTGTAGTCTTTTAAAAACTGAAAACATTTCATTAGTAATTTTAATTCAATATTTCTTACCAAAGCCATGCAACTTTTTTAGCTAGACTTTAACCATGAATTATTCTCCATGGCGACAAACTTTTTGTTTTAACATGGTTAGAAGTTATAAAACCTAGGCAAATGGATTCATTGCAAATGAGAATCTATCTTCCTAAAGAAAATTTCTTTACATATCCCTGCGAGCGACAAGGATTTGAAGCGGAACCTGGGATTACCTCGATAATATAGAGGACAATGTTCTTGTAGAAGCAGTACAAAATGCACTTGGAGACCCTGTTATAGTTCCAGGCACCGTGAACCATCAACAAGTTCTTCAAATACTTGAACTGAAACAAGAGTGAGAAAAATTAGTATTTTCCTTTTCCCAGTGTCAGTGGACCGAGATGAGTGGTGTGTTTTGCAGAACTGATGCTTTACCTGAGCTATGGAGTAATCAGAAGAATTAGCTGCCTGGAGGCCTTCATTACCGCTTATTCCAACGCCGACATGTGCCGTCTGAATCATGCTGACATCGTTGGCCCCATCGCCGATGGCGAGCGTTATGGCTTTGACTTGTTTCTTAACCATGTCAACGACTTCGGATTTTTGAAGAGGAGAGACCCTTAAATTAGAACAAATGATCAATTAGCTCTGTTTTCTGAAAAGAAAGAAAAGAAATTTTGAAATGTCAATTGTCTTGAAGGACAGGAAGGATTAAAGAAGCAGAGGTCCAAGTGAATATGTAAGTTCTATGGAGGACCATTACAGAAAAGTCTTAGGCTTGCAAATGTTTGGTTTTCTGTTAACCTGGCTGCCACTTCAAGGGGAAAAAGAAAAATTTAAAGTCTTGGAAACAAACCTCTGGGAGTCAAACAGAAGCTCTAACACCTTGTCAAGCACCAGTTCACCAGTACTAGTTTATTTCTTTAACAAGTTTGCATACACTTGTTAAAGAGTAACATCTGAGTTCACAAATTCCATTACTTCCTAAGAAATAACATCAGCATTTCCAATTTTCACTTTTGAGTAAAAAAGGCCAGAAAGGCTGTTGAAGTGTCGTCCAAATACTTACTGGAGTCTATAACCATTTCTAGAGAACAAAAGTTTTGAGCCACCGAAAGCCGATCTTGGACAATGTAATATACATTTAAAACAACTTAAAACTCTTACTTAAGTGAACAGTAGGGAACCGGCTAACCTCTCGACCTGTTCTTGGATACGATGGTCAATCCACCGAAGTGAACGCCAAGCGCTTGGCTACATAGCTCACGTGCCTCTATTTTCTTCCAAAGCCACTACGGCCGCGTAGAACCAAGCAAACTTCCGTATAAACGCTGGATCAGGGACAGAGAACAGCAGCACCCAAACTAAAACCATTTTTGGTATTAACTTTGGATCAACGTATCACAGGCTTTTAAGAGTCACTTAAGAAATAAACCCCACAACAGTGCCAGCGGGGTTCAAAGACAGAATGTGTCAGCGTAGGTTACTTAATGTGCGATGCACACTGTCTTGGCGATTGAGAAGAAAGGAAAACTACACAGTGAACTGGTTCAATAAATGGTGAAGACAGTGATTAAATACTGAGAAGCAATGGTCACACAATTTAGTGAGCAAGGAAAGCAACTCAGCTAAATTCTTTACCAAGATTAGGTGGAGTAGGTGTCTCATAATATCTGCCGGGGCATCTGGTAAACCATTTATTAGTCTATTTAAAAATGAAGATCATTATTCTGAAAGATTCAACATCTTGCACGCCTTCCCGGTTATTTCTTTAGGAAACATTCCTAGCAGTGGACACTAGGCGCAAATATGTACTTTCAGGAGGCCCTGCTGCCCTTCAGAAAGGCGTCATCTGGCCAGAGCTGCTCTGGGTTTTATTTCAAGAGTGAGAATCACTGCACTAGGCTCTGAGTTGCCTGCAGGGTGAACCGGTCTCCTTGTTCTGTTCCTGGTGCTGATCCAAAACAGGCACTCGGTGAAACGCTGTACCTGGAAGACTTATTTTTAACCCTTTCTGTGAGTTTCCTTTCCGAGGCCAGCAACCGTACAAACCGACAGCTGTGAGTACAAGGGAATGGGATGAGTCTCCGGCTGTTAAGGGGCCTTTTCGCTGTCAGCCCCCACTGCTCTTTGAAGCAATTTTCACGTCATTTCCAAATTTTATTTAATTTCTCTTAACAGGCGAATCGGAACTGGTACGCCCACTAGCTAAGGCCCGTGTTTTAGACATGGACTACAGCTGACATTTAGTCAATGTCAAAAAACAACGCTTACCAAGAAATGGACTATGAAAAAAGCAAAGGGGAAATGGGCACGAAAAGAGAGAAACATTTGAAAACATTTACGAAATTCTCTTCACAGTCTGACAGCCTTACAATGTGAACACAGATGAAGTCACATCATGGCGTATCATCGCAGCCAGAAAACAGGGGTATTTTTTCCTAAGTGGGTGTATCATAAAGGATACATCTCTGCCCCATAGCTAATATTAGTGATGCAAAGAAGGATCAGAAAAGAGCTGGATTAAATCTGTTTCCTTTTTTTTTTTTTAATTCTCACTTGAGGATATTTTCCCCATTGCTTTTCAGAGAGAGAAGGTGGGGAGACACATTGATTGGTTGCCTCTCACACAACCACGACCAGGGCTGGGGATCGAGCCTGCAACTGAGGTACGTGCCCTTGGCCAGAACTGAACCCAGGACCCTTCAGCCCACAGGCCGGTGCCCTAACCACTGAACCAAACCAGCTAGGACTGATTTATTTTTTTAACCCTCACTGGAGGACATGCTTAGAGAGAGGAAGAGAGGGAGAAGGGGGAGAGAGGGGGAGAGAGAGAGAGAGGGGAACATTGACTGGTTGCCTTCCCTACAGGCCCTGACCAGAGATCCAACCAGCAACCGAGGTATATGCCCCAATGGGGAATGGAACCAGCAACCTTTCGTGCACAGGACCACGCTCAAACCACTGAGTCTCTCTGGCCGGCCTGAACTCTGTTTTCTTTCTGCACGGCTGCTACAACCAGCCACCGCTTTCTCTGCTTGACACTGCAGTTTTCAAAACCCCAAAGGAGAACTGGCTGCGAATTTTCACCAAATCTGTGGGTGTGGTTAACTCAGGTGTTAAAAACAGAATACGAATCCCCTTGGCAAGAACAATATCTACTTTTTTTTAAAGTTGTGGTCTCTTTTTTTTTTTTTTAAATATGTCTTTATTGATTTCAGAGAGAGGAAAGGAGAGGGAGAGAGAGAGAGAGAAACATCAATGATGAGAGAGTCATTGATCAAGCCCGCAACCCGGGCATGTGCCCTGACCGGGAATTGAACCCTGATCGCCTGGATCCCAGGTCAACGCTCAACCGCTGAGCCACGCCGGGCCAGGTAACAATACCTACTTTTAAAAAACTTGATGATGTAGCCACAGACATTCCCAAAATCACACTGTTACTGCCACTAGCTAAGGCAGCTGCTTCTATTATCCAGCTAAATGTAGATACCTGGCTTGGGGGAAGCCCTTGTATCTGAAGGGTCTGAAACAACAGTTGGTTGGTAAAGAAAGATGTCAGGGTTAAGTGGGGGTTCATCCACACCGGGTGGCTACTGTTGTGTTGGCTGCTGTCATTTTTTTATTTGACAACCTAGGGGAAAAGAGGTCAGTGCCCCTGATTAAAGTCAGGTACTGCATGGTTCAAAAATTCTTGTGGCTCACAGGTTGAAAATCACTGGTTTATAACAACATTACTACACAATTTAACTCTTCCAAATGTCTATCAAAAACCGCACATCCACGGTTGAGAGTATCTAAAACCTTACTTTTACAAATACCAATCGTGACCCACGGTATAATCCAGAAACATCACGAAAGCACTGTGTTCTACCCTAGATAGGTTTTGCCACCCATGGGCCTGCATCAGGATTTAAATTATTCAGTTCTCTTCTCTTCTCCTGTTGCTCTTTATCTTTCAGGAGAAATAAGAGCCTCTACAGAAAAAGACCACGGATCCGGCATGTGCAGTAAGGGTCCGATTTTCCTCCCTGTGGCTCCACAAACAGAGGGTGGTCCTTGGCGATCCAGCCTAGCAGCGCACTGAGTGCAATATGCTTTTCAGATATTATTTTGGCTGTAGTTTCTGCAGATGTTACTCATTACTTTCCTTATTTGCTACGTAGTAACTCTCACGGCCCTGCGAACATTAGGTCGTAGGACTGGAAATTTTTTTACCATTTAAGCTAGAAAGTATACAGAGTGGCCCAAATTACATGAGCCTCGTTTTGCACTCTTTTCACGGGATTAGCTAAATGAGCCACCGTTTTGAATGAAATATGCATAAAGGTTCTATGTGCAGGTATATACACAGACACATAATGAAGAATATTTTAAGGGACTTTCTACAGGTAGACAAAAGGGGTACAACAATGTGTCTTACGGTATTGTGCTTTAGGTTAATAAACTTAAAATATCTTATGTAGTAAAAATTATACTGGTAACACGATATTATCTCAAAAACTTATACTGTAAACTTAAAAGTTACTATGAAGTTGCCTTTAGAAGGTGAGTCTAGAAAAAAAAATCACGAATGTGGAGGAAGATAGTAATTGTGTATTATCCTGAAGTGTTCTGTATAGTAACCGGTATTGACAGAGCCCTTACTTACTAAGCCTGAGGCTGCTCCTGGGGACTATTTAAAGATCAGCATCATTAGTGTGGGAGCTGCTGTACGTTCCTCTGCAACAAACTTCCTAAGATTTCTCCTTGGGAATATCAATCTATCCCCCGCTGAGTCATGTTCTGCTGACTCATAAAGAAATTATGAGAGAAAAGCCTAAGAGAAAAACATCTGAGATCTTACTTGATTCTTTTTTGAACTAAAATTAGTTAGGCTCTTAAAAAGTTTCAAACTGAGGAGGAATTAAAATCTGGCACAAAAAATAAATAGCTGTGTTACATGTACCAAAATTACACAAGTGTCATAACACTTCTAGAAACTCGCCACCGATTTGTTAGTGGAAGTAAAACAGCCACTGATCTAGCGAATCCTAAAAACGATACTCAGCATACGGCACATAATGAAACATTCAACCACTTCTGGGCAAGAGAACTGCGTTACTCAAAGGACTGAAGAGTGGGCGCTTTCCTTGCCTCCAAAAGCAGTGTCTGCTGATATATCGAGGGGACCTTATCATATGGAGATCGAGTCTACAGAAATAAAATACAGATAGTCTTCCCACAGGGCAAAAAGGGAAGTAACTTTGAAAAAGACTTCCCTTTTCCATGCATTTTAGATGCAAAACTTCTTCTTATGAAATATAGGTTGTTATAGGAAAACAACTACTCTTTTCAGTTCCAGTGGTTCAGAGAATATTTTAAATAGTGACTGATCATATTGGCAGTGTATGTTTGAATGTGTGTGTGGGGGCAAGCGCGTGTGTGCACAGGTACTCCAATTACTAATTGGCAAATATACCTTATAAAATGTACTAAAAAGAAAACTCCTCCTAGTAGAAAAAATTTTTAAAATTTATCTTTATTGTTGAAAGTATTACAGATGTCCCCTTTTTTCCCCCATTGATCCCCTCCACCCCACATCCACCCCAGCCCCAGGCCTTCTCCAAACCAATGTCT